AGCAAGATTTATCACTATCCGTCGGTAAATTAACTAAAATTGTCGAATTAGCTTTTTAAGTATTAGTTCTAAGAGTCGTATTTCAATTGCAGTTTTAAAGGCAGCCACTAATACTGGCTAGACCGATTTAGACTATTGGCGAAAAGGTAATTATATTTATGAGTATATTTCTTCAAAAATTTTCGCATGTTTGTCCATAGATCAGAAAGTGCGGGTATAAAAGTACGCCTGATGGGTGGATTGGGACTGCCCTAAATAATGCGAAGAAGAGAGTCTGCCTCTTCGAGGTTACCTAGGGAGCGTTCGTTCAACGCTTCACCCTACTACGCGCTGCCGAGATGAAAAAGAGGAGACCGGCACGGGTAAGTCACTATTGTACCAGGAAAATTAGGAGCGCTTCGTGCGCGTACTTTTTAAATTGCCGACAAACATTCAAAAACGCATCGCTAAATATCTCAGACAATTGTCTTCTTGCAGAATTTATAGGGACTTAACATTAGTAATAATTGACTTTAACCACAATTAGTACATGACTCATAAAACCAATTATTAATATTAGGCAATTTTAGTTCATTAGCATTAATTGTCCCGCTAAATTTAGCGGGACAATTTCTGCGCCAAATTTAGCGGAAAAACTTTCCCCCTAAATGTAGCGGGGAATTTAGCGGGATATTTAGCAAAAGTTTCCCGCTAAATGGGAGGGGAGCAGGAGAGGAGGAGGGGAGGGTATGGAGGGGAATTTCTCCTCTCCGTACCTCCCCCTCCTCTGCCTCAAGAGCTGCTCTCTAATTCGGCGTTACAGTGGATTGTAAAGGTTTTTCATTTTTATCTCCCAATAAAACGTAGGTTTCTTATTAATTAACTACTTCGCAGTCTTGGAGATGCAGCTAGTTAAAGGGATGCTTAACCTAGCTTTGAATTTCGCAAAATAAGGCCTCAGCAGGGTTGAACAGGGCGCTACGAACTCCAAAACATTACTCATACATCGATATCTCAATCGCATGACCATATCTATAGAAAAGAAGGTCGTGATCTAATGGGTACTGTGACGTCACGGTCTTCTTGGAATAGTTGAGAATGAGGGGAAGCGGCTTTGCTTCTCTCCTCCTCGGTGCTATTCCCTGCTCGACGGGACAAAGCTTTGAGTAGAGGGAATAAGAATCGTGGCGTTCCCTGTCTCGTCAGCCATGTTCAGTCAAGCACTTTTCCAAAGCTACGCCCAACCATTACAGATATCGCTGTATCAGTGATGTTTTGGGGTTTTGCAAGGTCCCGCATATTATACTCCTGCCTTTTTTATGAGCTCTAATTTTCGGTTGAGCATGGCTTTTTAAGCATTAGGCACAAAATAAGTTCCAAGGCTGTCGGATGGAGAAGCTTAAGCACATTATAATTAATTCCATCTGGTCCAAGGGCAGGCTGCTTGGACGAAAGAAGTGCCATTTGAAGGTGAAGCAGTGTGTGTGAATCATTATGTGGTTTTCGCACAGCCCCGGATGTGGTCACAGTAATTGTTTTCTGCCTGCAACTTGTATGGCTAGAAAGTTCGTGCTTAATGATCGGAACCCGATAGAAATTTGAAGTGCTCTCCGAGTACGTCTGCTTCTTCCCGACTCGCTGTGCATATTTGATTTCGAACTTAAGAGTGTGACAGAAAGTGCCACATGAAGACTATCGATTTTACGCACTTTGTATTAAATTTCGTTCAGAGATGCACTGCTAATAACAGAGGAAGCAGAAGCTATTAAGCTTTGCGCTTAGCGTGCCTTCGAATATACTTCGCCTGTTCCCTGATTCTTCTGATATTAATAATGTTTTTCGGTGTAGGATATCACTTAAAAATGGACAATGCTTCGTTTTGTTTCTTTTTAGCATCTTCGCAGTCTGCGGTCCCCCACGGCTTTGGCATTTTAGGAAGTTGGTTGGACGTCATCGGTATGGCAATAATTGCAGCTTCGAAGGTGTGTTTTGTGAGATAGTTTGTTCCTTCACCACTAGAGAGTTGACGTAGAAATGAAACAGCTAAAAGAGATGATTGCTTAAAACATGCCCAGTCAGATTTTCCTTTAAATTACACCGAGGTGAACGTAATGAAAGTGTGACGTGAGGATTGTTCAACTCTAAAATGAGTGGAAAGTGATCACTTTCATACGGATTGGGATGACCTTCCATGAAAGCAATGGTAATATTACTGGGTGACAAATGAACAGGTCTCTAGAAGTACGAATATGAGAGGTGTAACTAAAATAATTAAGTTTATTTCTGTTCAGGGGACACAACCCCGAGAAAAAATAAAACGTTCAGGGAGAGCCCCTCTGGAATCCCATCCGCCACTCCACCACACGGGATTTCGTGCATTAGAAATTCCTAAAAGTAAAAAAGGTGGAAGCAGCTGACTATGAAGGCCTTAGAACTCTTTAGTATCTAGCTGATAACTGTGCAGTATATATAAAGAACAAAACTGTAATTATACAATCTAACAAACTCCATCAAGCAAAGTCTCCAGTGCCACTTCACTACATGGAATTGAACGTTGCACAAGTGTAAGGGCTTCAGACGAAAGAGCTGCTCGTATCCGACCCTTGCCAAACACCTGGAAGTAATTTAATATGTTTGTATGGCTCGCTTTCAGATGTGCTTCCTACAAGCAAAGCCCAATGGGTTCATGTTCATCTAGCAGCTGGCTCGTAACATCATATTTAGGCAGGAAGCCTCTTCAGTGCCACCGACGAAGCAAATACATTCCAAAGTCGAATCGATATATATATATATATATATATATATATATATATATATATATATTGTGGGATTCGCGGCCAGTTGCCGGTACAAAAAAAAAAGAAGGCAAAAAAAAAAGAAACTCGGGTTGTTGGAGTTTTTGGGCTTCGCGGCCAGTAGCTGGCACAAAAAGAAAAGGAAAAAAACTCGGGCTCGGCGTTCGGCGCGCAACGTGCGCGCGAGCCAGGCGAGGCTAGGGCGGCCAGTCAGTCGTTCGACGCAAGCAAAAAGTAAAGGTGTGTGTTTTGAGATCTACCTCGTTGGTCCTTCTTTCGGGTGAGCAGTAGCGCCGAACCCTACATTATTTATGTACAGGGTGTTTCAGAAAACGCAGGCCAAATCGCTCCTGCGAAAACTAAGCATCCTACAGAAAAAAAGGTTGTTGCCGTGTTGCTGTCTGCCCAAGAACCCATTTTGAAAAAAAGAATAACGTTTAGAAAAAATAGTTTTTTTCTAAGTTTTTCAGAAAGTGACTTTTTACTTGTTCATTTGAAGGCCAATGTTTCAAGTAAACACTTGCTGGGCATCATCAATAACCCCTGTATCAACCCTCTTTAAACGAGTATAAAGCATGCCGAGCATTCTACCATGTTTTGAAAACCCCTTCAATTCTCACGCGTACTCTGGTTTCGGATTCTTATCCAAGCGCATCTTGGCGGCAGCTGTCCTGCCCTCCAACGGCTGAAACGCGGAACCAAGACCAGGCCAAAAGTCAAAGCTCAATCTTGCAATGGCATGCTCTTTCGAACTGCGAGGCGTAACTTACCGCCTGGCCACGCGCGCACGCTACACTTCTTTGTTTTTTTGTATACGAGAGAGGGAAGGGAGGCGGGCGAGCGGGCGGGCGAGGCTATACTTCGTTTCACCTTAGGTCCGACCACGGCAGATGTTATGAGCCGAAGGGCCAATCAAACAGCGTAAAAAGCACAACGTCATGGCCTGCCCTCTGCGCTTGACTAGCCGGCGAAGGAGCATGCACAGAAAGACGGTGAATACCGGCTGGTCCTATCAGCTACAGAGAGCACGCCATGATGTAGTGCTTCTTTCGCTCTTCGATTGGCGCTTCGGCTCATAACATCGGCCGCGCTCGGACCTAAGCTGAAACAAAGTGTAGCGGCAGTTGTCCTACGCGGAGGGCAGGACAACTGCCGCCAAGAGGCGCTTGGATAAGAATCCGCAACCGCTGTACGCGTCAGAGTTGAAGGGTTTTCCAAAACATAATTAAATGCTCGGCATGCTTTATACTTGTCTAAAAATGGTTAATATAGGAGTTATTGATGATGCCCAGTAAGTTTCTAACTGAAATTATGGCCTTAAAATGAACAAATAAAAGTTACTTTCTAAAAAACAAAACAAAAACTATTTTTCTAAACGTTATTATTTTTTTCTAAATAGGCTCTTGGGCAGACACCAACACGGCATCAACCTTTTTTTCTGTGTGATGTTTACATTCTGCAGGAGCGATTTCGCCTGCGTTCTCTTAAACACCCTGTACATGCAGGTACAAGGCTGGGGCTAGATTAGAGACGGAAAAATCGCGCGGGCGCCTTACTGCAGCCGCTAGTCTTGTACCTGTTCCACGAGTGGTTATTTCAGTACACTACTGCGCGCACGTTTCTCACGCGCTCAAAGTCTTTTTGAAAATTACTGATTTAGTGGTTTTCGATGACACTAAGCATGTTTATAACTGGAACCTTATGTCCATTTTAATTCATTAAAAAGTTGATTAAGGAATATTAATTAATTAGACGACTTATCGCAAAGATTAGCCACCGACATAATGTCGCCCTGGCCGTATAACTCACCTGCACAAACCGCATAAGTGTAACTTTCACGTTTTTTTTAAAACAAATCTGTTAATAAAAAACATCCTCTGTATATATATATATATATATATATATATATATATATATATATATATATATATATATATATATATATATATATATATATATTTATATATATACATATATATGTATATATATATAGTCTTCAGTTATTTGATTGCAGCCTACTGAGTTTCATGTATTCATTCGTGCGAATTTTTGAAACTTGTGGGCTAATTTTAAGTTCGTAAATATAAAGTATGGACTTAATTGAGCACTTACACTGTGTCTTCCATTGTCACAAATTCAAAATCTTATTCGTCCGCTAATAAACGAAAACGTATTGCCTAACCTTTACTCTGGTCATCTGTTACGAAGAAATAAAATAAAACGTACCTTTGTGACAATTCTGGGCACTCCCCCATAGCATTTCTTCTCCTTCGCCTTTCTCTCAGAGCAATTGGCCCCTCTTATGTCACTTTGAAGAAAATGTGAGTGAATATCATTAGTGTGGAGCACTGTTATATTAAAGACCTCCTCTGAAGTCGATGGCGCCGCGCTTGATATAGCAAACAAAGACCAAAAGAAAAAACTCTTCATGATGCCGGGAGTCTGGCAGCTCATCGGTTTCAATCCTGTGAATTAAGATCGGCGTTTCGATCCCCTCCCTATAAACTCACGAGCTCAGAAGAAAAAGTGATGACGAAAGTTCAACAGCTCCACATGCGTGCAGCCATATATACAACAGCTGGACGCAAAGATTGTGGATAAAAAACAAAAAAATTTAAATCGCTTTTCGCGAAGTTGGAAGCGGGGAATGTCAGCTTCGCCATCAGAAAATACCACGGGTTAGCCACGCTTTAATGCAGCCGGTTCCGGTCGTGCTGCTCTTTTCTCGACAAATAACTACAATATTTGTTCTCGACTGAAATTTTTTTCTGGTCGTATGTATGAGCCAAGAGTAGTTTAAAAAAAGATTATCGATTCGCCAGCAGGGTAATATTTAGCCTATAGCTCAGTTTCTAACATGTATCGAGAAAAAAAATATTACTTCCAAGATAAATTCCTAAGGTGTATAATAAACAAAAATTTTGTTGCAAAATTATTCAGGCTATATTTCGATGGGTTTAGATGCCAAACCGGAAATAGCCAGAAACAACCTAGCTATAACATTTCACTTAAAAGAGGTTGTAGTAGGGTTGCCTTGCTGCATGCCCATCCGGGAGGAACAACACGAAGCCGGGGTTTCCAAAACGAGAGACTACATTTATTAAAGTAACAGGAATGAATTGTTAGTATCAACGTAAAACATTGCCGGAGCGTTCGAACTGCACGCCTCCGTGGCCACGGTCCGTCTTCCCCTTTCTGTGGGCGTGTGCCCTCTTTTGTAGGCTTCTGTGCCTGTCCTATATGTGCGCTATTGCGCGCCTCGGCCGTTGTCCAATTTGGGAATTCGGCAGGGGCCTCTGGCCGTTGTGGGAGACTCTTACTCCCACAAGGTACAACTACTGCATAAAGATTTTAGTTTTAATAAATTGGTTTAGTTGGACCTCGTGATTTTGACCGCTAAGGCCCGCATCCAACGGGGCAATCTTCCTAGCCATTTCGGTGTTGCCGAGTTGCTCCCTAGCTTTGCCTAAATCCTCGCGCTGCAACAGGAATTGCTTAGATCATGTTCGGCTCGAAAAAGACGAGCAACTCGGACAACCCAGAGACGGTTGAAGCGGCAGCAGCCAATGAGAGACGCAATATTTTATCGTGACACCGCTGTGGTGGTGATAATAAGAACTAAAAGCTCGGTTCTTGTTTAAAAGTCATCGTATTTTGGAGTAAATCGCTTCAGAATGATGCGTTAATAATCTCAATGCCATTTAAATATATGAAAATATGCTTAGAGCTCGACACTGTGTGTTTAAACATTGCAAGAAAATTTTATTTGATTGATGATGGCAGATAGTAGCCACTCGCTTGCTGCGTGTGAACGCGTAAGGCCCGTGTGGCTGTGTTGCGACGTCAATGTCCCGCCTATTTTGGTGTTGCTGGCGAGTTCGTTTCTAGCGTTTTTTAGATTCTGGCGCTGAGACACAAATTTCTTGGATCGCGTACGGCTCGAAACGGACGAGCAACTCGGACAACTCCAAGACGTTTGAAGCGGCAGCAGCTGATCAGGGATGTGATGGGAGGGCAGACTCAGGTGAGTGAGGGGGAAGTACCCTCCTTCGCGGAACTTCCGCAACTGATGCAATCTAGTAACGTTGGAAGAAGTTTATAACAGCTATCACTGTTAAACGAGGAGCGCTCACCCCCTCAATTCGAAGACAGAAGTGACACGTCATATAAGGCCAATGATATGACGCCGACGTTTATGAAGCCACGTGCTGGAGTTGGTAAAGCACAGGGCAAGCTCTGAGTTCCAAACATTGGTAAACTTCGGCCATTGTTGTCAATGTAGCGATTTGACACGAGCCACTGCCCGAATGCTTGTCGAGCTATTGATTATTACAAGAACAAATCAATTGCTCACGCAATTTTTGGGTCCAATCTTTGAGCCCCATTCAAATACCGTCACTTTGGTAAAAGTTCAAGCTCCGAGCTGCGTCATCAAGTATTGCGAAGGAGAGCTTAAAGGAAAATTATCGCTTTTATTCTTGAAATTACACCACGACAAAGATGTTTCTAGTTCAGTGGCGTTGCGGGCAAGCAAACTTCGATTCAACCAGTGCCATTAAGCTCGTTTAAAGTGGGGAAAAAAACATTTCAACTCATTATCGTTTCACCGCACTTCTAAATTATTAGAAAGAAATTTTTGTTTGGTTAAAACTACTATCATGATTAGTGCTGCTTTGCTCGAAGAAAAAGGTAAATGTGTCACCCAGTATTACTGCGATTGTAGCTTTATTATTCATAATTTCGAGCACTCAACTTTCGCACTGTTCCATACATAAATAAAACTCATTGACCACGAAATTTTTTGGAGATGCTGGGGATAAATCAGCAATCTCAAAATTAAATCATGTGCTTAGTATCTATATATTTGAGCAAAAGCATTTCCGTGATATTAAGAATATCTCCTTGCGAGGGCCTCATACCAAGGTGTAAATATTTACGTCTGTACTTAAATTCGCGCTCGGGTTAGGTTTTACTGACACCAGGTTGATATGTGTAAAATGCGACTTTATAGTACAGTTTATGCCCGGCCTCTGGCTCGCGTTGTTGTACCAGTGCGTAATACAAAAATTTATGTGCATTAAAATACTGTCGAATTAAAGTGAATTCCGGAAACTCGCAGGATTGTATTTCTTTGTTTTATGTGCCCAAATACAGCCATTCACGGCTAATATTAGAAAGCGTAACAAAAAATTGTGCCGTAACTTTTCTTTTTCATCAGTGGTCTGATTCACTACTAGGCGCGTACGTGATTTATAGACAGTGTTTCTAATTTTTAGCCTCTATTCATTGTGAAAATTCATACATCAAACAACCTAAATTCATAAAATTGCTACTGCTTTCTGAATATGCATCTTGGCAATATCAAATTATCTGCTTTTATGGAGCACGTGAGAGCTGCTCCGGGTATTTTCTGTAGTGGCAGAAACAAAAGCTCGTGTGTTCGGGAATCGAATTATTATTATCGATTGGAAATCTTCTACGAAATATTAGTTTAGAAAACCGTTGATGGGGGAATAGAGTTTGGTCATATATTATTTTCGTCGAATCATTAAAGTTTCCACCGGAAGTCACGTAACGCAATAGCAGTCACGGAGCAACAAGGAACACCGTAGGCTCGACGCGCACCTGCCAGGTAACAGTCATGTTTTGTGCATGGCGTGCTGGGTAATGCCGCGCTACATGCTTTGTCGAGGTTTGGGGTTAGCGCATTCCAAGTTTGACATTGGTACTTTCGCTGCTGCCTGGTGCTGCCAAACTGCAGCTGTGAATGTTTTAGTTAAGTTATGATTCCAAAGCAAAAGCGAAACGTCCTGAAATATGGTTAAACACGATTCGAAGCTTTTCGCCAGAATGTGTGAAGTGACTGTGAGAAATGTGATTGCGCATAAACTCTCAGAAAAAAAAAGGAGTACTATTACACCCTCTGTCCCATATAATACACCCCAAAACTTCAGTTCGACGTACAGCACACTCACGTCGATCTGTAGGTACTAACTTTCACGAGAGGCTTGATAGCCGTGTGTTACAACTTATTAAAATAGCTAATGTACGTGTTACTGACTACAAAAAAAAGGCAATCGGGGTTTCCTTGGCACTACTGCAAAACCTCAGTGTTTTATTTTTGTGGTCTTCGATACGTACTTTAGATATTTAATAAGTTATATCGCACCGTTATCAAGCCCCTCGTAAAATTTGGAGCCGTCTGTTCGACTCTAGGGCGCTGTCCGTCGAACTAAAGTTTTGGGGTGCATTTTTATGGGACAAAAGGGTGTAAGGTGACACCTTCGTTTTTAGAGTGTAGACGCCCTAACTTTTATGTATATCAACTTTTTATGTACTTAATACCACACGCACATACACCACAACCTTGTGGTCAATGAGTAATGCATGGAAGGGAACACACAGCAAACCTCAGTCCACATCCTCGCCTTAGAGTAAATCGAGACAGGTACCGTTACTAATGTTACTGGGTCCTGAGAAAATAGTGCCAAGCTCCCTCTTATCGTCGCCATTTTGGTCCATGGAATGAACAGCTTTTTCTTAGCTTAACATTCTTCGCGAGCCAATCGAAATTCGCTGGCTACAAATTGATTTATAGAGAAAGGATGTTGAATACCGAGATTCTGTGGTCCGTGCACCTGCGAAACAAGCGCACATCTTCGGACCCCACCTCATAAGGCGCAGGTGTTTGGCGGCATGAAAAAGTAATATTTGCTGCCTTTAAATACACAAGAAGAACAATAACATTGTAAAATATCAGTGGAGATATGCATGATTAATAAGGGTATTTTATGCTCTGCGCCAAATAGGCTGATATTGCCAAGAAACGCTCTCAGTACGATGATGCTCCATAGAAATCTTGATAAAGTACTGGTTCAGAACGACCCTTGCGAACCTTCGAATGAACCATAATAGCAATTTCCACGGAAACTGAGACTGATCAGCCAATTACCTTGCGAGGTTTAGTCGCCTGTATGTTAATTAGTATCGCTTCGTTTCCCACTAGCAGGCAGGGAAGTCGATAACGCTACTTTCCCAGGATAAAGTAACTTTAACCGTTACGAGGGCTGGGCGATTGGTTTACATCTGGTGAACTAAGGTGAACAATATGTAGCCGTGTTCCCCGCCAACCAAAGAAGTAGAAGATACTGTCGCATGACAAGAGCCAAGTCCGAGAGCTTTGCCTAGCGTCACGGGGCTGTGCAAGCACCAGCTCAGGTGAAGCGGAGCTTTCTGCCTCGCATAATGCCGACGCCGCGAATTTAGCTGGCATGTCTCTACAAAAGCTATCGCTGTTACATCAAGCGACAGAAGTGGACGCTGACGGCAGGTAGACAACTTTGTGAGATAATTATGTCTGTACTTGCTTTAAAAGCTTGCTATAAAATGTATCAATAAATATTTTGGTATAGTTGTCGTCTCACCAAGTTCCAATTTCTAAATACTAGTAAGTT